TTGAGCCTGTAATGAGGAGGTTCAAGATTTTGCCATGCCTAAGATGCCATTACTTATTCGTGATGGGGGGGAGAGGGCTGGTGAGGGTTTGGTTTCTGAGCATGCTTTTTGACATGAAGGGCTTGAGGGATACATCGCATCTGAGCCCTTATTGCCCCCTTTCCAGCACGGGGGTCTAGGGCTTTGTCAATGGACAGTATGTATTGTGAGTTCTCTTTCTTTGTGAGCTCTTGCTGTCAGACTGCTATAATGGGCTCATTTTTTTTTGTTACATGTGTATCCCCCAAACAGCATATGCATTCACTGTGACCATCAGGGGCTGGCATAGTCTCAGCATTTGTCACATCTTTTGCCTTTGGAGAGCCTGGCATGTCTCAGTGGCAGACTATGCGGCTTATGACTGTATGAACAGAGCTATCTGTGTTTGGTTTCTCTGTTTGTTTGTTTGTTTTTGTAGTTTGTGCAGTGGTAAACTGCCAGTCTAAGTAAACTATAAACAAGATGAATAACAAACAGCATGTTTTTTAAAAATGTAAACTGTACTAAGAAGGAAAGAAGCCCTGGGTCCTTCAGCCTATCTAACTACTTCTTTGCTTTTCAGAAGAGCGCTGAGGAGAGGGTTTGAACTCCATTGGTAGCTGAGGGCAGCGAACAAGGAACTGAGGAGAATTGGGCTGCGTGTGCAAACTTCAAAGGCAGGAAAGCCACTCACTGCTCGTGCATGCACAGCCTGACTGCACACTGCTCTGAAAGTCTCCATTCCATGATACCAGGACTAGTTTGACACCAACAGTGGAGCACCCTTGGGGACACCACTCGCAGAACTGCTGTTGTAAGATTTTGTGATAGAGCACAAGTTTGAATCTAGTGTGTGTGTGTAGCTTTTAGTGATCAGATTAGATTAGAGCCATAGTTAACAGTCAAAGTATTATATACTCAGGATGACCTTAGACAAAGTTTGGTCATATAGCTACGTGATCTGGCACCGCTTTCTTAGGGAGGAAATATTTGGCAGGAAAATGAAAACAGACTTCATTTGTTTTTGCCATTCACTTCAGATTTCTAAACCGATATCAGTGACACTAGAAACGAGCTATGTAAGCAAGTACAAATTTATAATGGTGCAGCATCCAAGCATCAAGAAATGCAACTGAATAATTAATCTGTATTTAATTCACAATTTTCTTTTTCTCGTTTGTAGGGCCTTTCCAAATTCATGAGATTTGATCCCCTGTATGATATCTGACTATTGTAGGGAGGGGCAGGGCTAGGGCACCTACCACATGCTAAGCTCCAACTGCTAGTCCCAGCCCAGCAATTGCCACCTGTAATGCTGGCCCTGTACCCCACCAAGCAATAACTCCCCCATACTATGTGATCCTCACTTGTGTGCTGATGCTGGCAGTGGTGCTGGTTTTACAGCTGGGCACTCCCCCACTCAGAAAGAAGCACTTCTGCCAAGCAGCAGTGCAGAAGTAAGGATGGCAATCCTACCACCCCCTATGATACCTTGGGTGACCCCCCTCCCTCCATGATACCTTGGGTGTGGAACCTTATGATTACAACACCCACATTTCAGATGTAAAATGTGAAACTTAGAAACTATTTTAAAAAATTCTGTGACTGTGCAATTGGCCAAAATAGATCATGTATTTTGTAAAGCCCTACTCATTTGTATAAAATTTAATGCAATAGACTATGTAATTATTATTTAACATTAATATTGCAGTAGTTCCCAAAGCCTTTTTTTCTAGGTGTAGCCCAAACACACAGTAAAGGGTTTGCTTACAAAAACACACCACACTTCCATCTTCTCCACTTCACTCTCTCCCATATCTATGTTGTAGAATGAGTTATTTTCTGAGCAAACATTTGCTATGGTTGTGAACATCTTAAATCTGGGAATCTGGCTATATTACTTATATTACTCTAACACAATAATCATACCAGCTTTGTTGTACAGTAGTCTTTAGAATAACCCACTGGGTTTTAAGCAGGTGAAATATAAGAGACTGAATTAGCATCTGGATTGCTGTGTCTCCTATGAGGGGATCTCTTGCTAGTCACTATAGGAAGTTCCAAGTCAGTACCATGATCCCCTGCTGCATATAATACAGAGCTCCATCTTCCTACCACTGGCTTGGAGACAAAAACATTATTAAGAGCTTAGCGTTTTCACCAAACATACAAAATGAAAATGAGATCCAGGTGGATCTCCTGCTGGATTGGTCAGATAGTTACTCAGAAGATATCAATTGAAAAGGAGAAACCATTTTGGAAAACTAATGTCTTAATCACTAAAGGCATGTCTACACACTGGGGAGATTTTTTGAAATTACTCCCCTTATTTTGAAATAAGGCAAGTGTCTACACGACCAGGCCCATTACTTTGAAATAACTCGTGTTTATCAAGAGGAATAAGCTCATTTTGAAATACTTATTTGGGGAGTTATTATTTTGAAATTTATTTCAAAATAACCTGTTAGTGTAGACATAGCCTAATGAAAAATTTGTCAGACTCTTATAGGGGACAAAACACAATGAAAACAAAACCTTATGCTCCTATGTACTTTTGGCCAATAGATCAGTTTTATGCATCAAGATCCCTTAGACCTCTTCAGTTGTTCAGAAGGAAATTCTGAGATACAAAAGACTCTATCCTTTCTTAGTGTTAATAATAATCCAGCAAACTAGAAAGATCTCGTTTGACCAAAATCCACTTTGTCTTTAAAGCCCTACTAGCAGTCATTTCAACCTAAAGAATGCCTATGCTAAGGCAAGAGTGTTTAAAAAAAACCCACATTTATAAAGGATTTATATTTAAATCCTTGCATTATGTTGTAAGGGAACCCTGACTAACATATAGGAAATATAGACTACCTATGTGCAAATAGCTAGTTGGAGAGTCCCTTCTTTAAAATCCTCCTTACTGAGTCTCACTTCATAAACTAGGCCAACTAACATATTTAGCCACAGTATTCATGGTGGACTTAATGTTAGGCTAGAATATCCCATTTAAAGAGAAGAATTAAAGAGTGATCTAGACAGTCAACCATTCCTATAACCAAAGCATCATTGGCTATAAGGAAGCCTTGACTAATTGCGTATTCATTTGAGGGGGAGCTAGAATAGAAGGCATGTGGGGTAAAACTTCCAAAAAGAGAACACTCATCTTCCTAAAATTAATCAATCCTGGAGAAGATGAAATTTGTCTTTATGTATGCCCATAAAGCCATCAGACTCATCTGAGGACTCCATTTGTAGCAAACTAAGAGGAATGTTGACTGGTGCATTCTCTTCCCTTGCTTGGTTCTAGAGGATCTTAGAACCCCTGGTAACTTGGGACGACCACAGGGAATATATAAAAATCCTTTTTCCTGAAAAGAAGATTTAACTGGCTTGTTATTATGATAGTAGAGAGAACCAGGGGTGGGTGAGGTAGTATCTGCAATTGGACCAATCTCACCCATCTTGTCTGTAAATTCCTGGAACAAAAACCGTTAAAAATGGTTATGCTACTGTCTCTTTGAATCTTTCCTATGTAGAACATTGGATCCTCGCTGAAGTGGTAAATTGCCTACCAGCTGCACTACTTTCTAGCCACTGATCAGGACAATCTTCTCTGCCATCAGTGAGCAGTCCTAGATGATAGTGACCTAAGCATCCATTTCTCTTCTATTTCAGACGTATGTTCACAGTGAGTGCCATATGTGGACAAAGAGTAGATTTCTTGTCTGGTGGAACAACAGTCTTGTAAGGTATTAGTTGGTGTGGATGTTTGCCTTGAACATATTTACTCTGCTGACACCGTCATTGGACTTAACCATGTCAGTTACAAGATCAAGAATACACATTCCTGTTCACCCAAAAATATAATTTATGCCATCATGTGCCAACAGTGTCCGTCTGCTATGTATATTGGACAAACTTCTCAGACACTTCGCCAAAGAATCAATGCACACAAAACAGACATCAGACAGTTTCACAAAGCAAAAACAGTTCCTTGCCATTTCAACCAGACTGGGCATTGTCTCAACTACCTTACTACATGCATCCTGCTTCAAAGAGACTTTAACACCAGACTACAAAGGGAAGCCTCAGAATTGTAATTCATGCTTAAATTTGACACTTTACGAAAGGGCCTTAACATAGATGCTAATTATCTTACCCATTACAAAGATAGCTTCCCCAATTATCATCCCTAATATCATTATCTCATAGACACTAACCTCAACCCCCCCACCTCTCGTTCTAAAATCTGATTAGTCAATTTTATATGTGTTCACTTTTTTCTGATTGTATCCCTTTGGTATATATGGTCATGCCAATTTTCTTCCACAATTTGATCTGAGGAAGTGGGCCTGGCCCATGAAAGCTCATCACCTAATAAACCATCTTGTTAGTCTTTAAGGTGCTGCATAGTCCTGTCTTTTGTTTCAGCAAGACCAGACTAACACAGCTACATCTCTATTACTAAAGCAGGTACAGAATATTAAGGATAAGCAAGTCATCTGTCACCTCTCCCTTACAGAGTAATGTCAGAAGAGAATTACTCCACCATCTCCAATTGCATATTTAGAAAGTAAAACATTTCTTCCTTGTATACAGATCTAAAAGTTAAGTCACAGTTAAGAAAGAACTCTGATCTTTACAATAATAGCTTAGGTATTGGTCCATTATGTCCCCAGTGTGCCACTCAAATTGTGCAAACCGGATAGAAAAATGTCTTTAACAGCTGTCTAGAGATTATGTCTGCATAGAGGAATCCTCAGACAGCAGAGCGCCACAGAATCTACTTCTATAATTCTTGCTCCTTAACCCTATCACATTCTGTTTCCCTTAGGAGTCGTTGTGGAACTGATTAGAGATACAGCTGGATTATGATGACATCTGAGCACCGGTAGTTTGAGATATAAAAAGGAATATTATTTCAGGGCATCTCTGTATTAATAAGTCAGGATTTCTTATTCATTGAAATATGCAGAGACTTAATTTTGAAGATTATGAATTGCTAGTACAAAGAAAATGTTTCAATGGAAAAATACTGCACTTAATAGGTCAAACTTGGAAACTGAAACATGTTTGATTTAATGACCGCACAATTTCAGTACATAAAAATAGATACTCCGTATGGAACAAATGTATACAAACCAGATTCCTTAGGCAATGTACAAAACAATTGTAAAAAGAAAATTGTAAAGGAGCAGGGGGATGGAAGGGTTTCCTTGGATTTCACTACAGGACAAAAAACTAAAATGTAGTTGAGCAAACAATGTTAAACAAGGAGATAAGAGATTTATTTCATAAATACAGTGCAATGCTTTCATTTAACAAATACAAAAATTACAATTATTTAACTTAATGTCAAGAAATATAAAATTTAATTCAATGACAGTTATTTAGTTTTTTTTTTAAAAACAGATGCAAATATAATAGCTTTTAAAATTTTGAGGTAATATTACACACTAAACCAAAAAAAAAAAAATCAATGAATAAAACTAAACCATGTCAAAGTGTAATTTGGTGATAAGATTAAAATGTAAAGCTTTTCTCTTAATGATAGGCAGATACAATGCTTCAGTTATTAAACATGGGCTTGAGTCATAAAAATATTGACTTTTGTGCATTTTTACGAGAGAAACTGTATAACATTTTTATTAATTAATAGCATAAGATGACTTTCCATGAATCACCCTTTTGAGAAACAAAAACTGTGTTTCCAGTTTACTTAATAAAAATATACATAATTCTGATTTTTAAAATACACCTACATTTTGGTGCTTATTAGTATTTTAGCCATTTTAAATGTCCTTAGTTCAGGCAGTACAGTGATGAAACAGTTTGATTTGTGTAACTGATTCACTTTAGATTTCCAAATTAAAAATATAATTCTAGAATGGTATTTTTAAAAGCACCAATTACTGGCCTAAAAAATGGGCCCAGTGAAGTCAATGGTAGTTTTTCCACTGACTGAAAGAGGAACTGAGTTAGGCCAAGAACGCTCTCAAAAATCCCATCACTAACCTCTATTCCTAATAAAATAAAAATGGTAAAACATCACTATCTTGTTTAAGGATCAGAAAAGAATGAATTGTGTACTTATTCACTAAAGGATTAATAGCATTAAGTTACAAAATAGATAGATTAGTTTATTAACCAATGTGGAAATCTGCTGGTTGTGTGTCAGTAGTATAGAAAGGAAGAAATAGCCAGAATAAGAAAAGTATCAGAAAAATTACTGTATACTTTGTTATTGCAAATAAGTTCAGTTGTAAAATCTATACAACATACAGTGGGTATTACTTATTGTAAAAAAATACAATATACTATACTGTATGTTGCTAACTGTCTCAGGATGTGAATAAAAACGGACTTGAAATTTTGCTTTAGTTTACAATCAGTTTGTCCCCCAGCTCCAAATTTAATACAACTTTTTGAAAAGAATATTTTTATATTTACTTTATTCAGTATGCAGTGAAAAAAGCCATTATCTAAACACTGACCTTCAAGTTAAATGAAAGCTACAGCATTTGATATGTTCTTGTATTCACTTTTTCATAGATTACTTCAATAAAATTTTAGTAAAAGATTTCTAGCATCAAGTTGTTGATCAAATTACAGTATGATACACAAGTTTAAATTTTAATATTTTCCATATGTTGTGGAAGACTTAGTTCTGAAGTAATTTAAGGAAATTTAGAACTGACCTGTCAACATCCAATTTCTTTAAGACATGGTTAAAAACTATCTACAGCCAAACTGACTAGTTTACGGCCAATTTTATAATATTAGTCTGAAGACTGTTAAATATTTAAAGTTTGTCCTTGAGTCCAGTTACATTGAAAATAGTACTTTAAATATCCCTGTACAAATCAATTCTGTTGATCTGTAGAAGTTGACTATATAATCTCTAAAACTGTGTATTTTGTAAAAATATATCTTTAGTAGTTAATGGCACTATCAAAATCCTATTTTTCATAGGCAGTTATTTACATGCTTTTTAAATAGCCTGCTTAATTATTTGATAATGAAACATTAAAACTGTATACATTTTAACTAGGCTAAAATTGCTATTTGTCTCAATATGAAAATATGGCCCCAAAACTCACATTAATGGCAGTTATAACTATTGCCATTGTGTGCCATTGAAGACATTCTGCCACTAGTCTTATCTAATCAAGAAACCTTTTTGTGTTTCCTTTCCCAGTGGAACATGCATCATGATATAAATTATGATTAATTATAAAGTGCTCTGAGAATAACCAGAGACAAAACTGTAATCTGGAATTTGTCACCTCTTCAGCTTTCTTCTGTCAAGTAATGCAGCATTTTGTATTTTATGAAAGTTACTTTGTGAAAAAAGCAAGCAGTAAATGTATTGCCATACAGCAAAACCAAATGCATATTGCAAGAAACAGAAACATGAAAAGCTTAAAGGCACAATAAGAGAAAAGTGAGTGCTACATAAAAATCCTTTACTTAAAATATTTCATCTTATTCTAGACCAAATCCTTCTGCATTTGAAATTCCAATGATCAACTTCTGCTTCAATTCTTTTTTGTTCTTATAGGGAGGAAGGCAAAGCTGATTGAAGCACGTGTGAGCCACAGGTAACCTAAACACATATGAAAAACAATGCACCATTTGTTTTCAACATAAATATAATAGCACTAGGATATTATTGTACACTTTAATTTACATGTAGTACATTTACAAATCCACATAAAGAACGTGTTACCTCACAGTAACTGGGGTTTCAATTTGTGTTGTTCATATGTATAATACTGTTGGTACACATGTGCCCCATACCCTCAAGTATGGGTTCTCTTTGGCTAGCAGTGTCCCTGTACCTCCCCCTTTAATACACAAAGGATTAGGAAAACCCACCTAACACTCAGACTCTTTGCCAATACAGAATCCAGGTGTTATGAGACAGTACAAGTGAGGAAAGTGGATTGTGAAATATGGACAACACATGTAGAAGAACCACAGTTATTTTAAAGTAACAGGTTTCTTCTTGCTTAGTTGTCCATATATTGTGGATGACTCACAAGCAGTGCCCTACATCACAGGAGGCTGGTGCTCAGAGTCTAACAATAAGCTAGCTCTGCCAAAAAGGAACATTCAGATCTTGATACATCTAAGGAGTAACATTTGGTAAATGTATGCATTTAATTCTGAAGTTGCTTCCTTGTTGGCATGTGGCTTGGTAATGAACACAGGGAGATGCATTACTTGGTTGAAATGGAAGTAAGAGTACCTTGAGCAAAAGCTTTGGATGAGGACTCTTTGTAATACTGTATGAAGTTTCTGCAGTGAATAGTTACAATAACACTCTTCTGTTAAAAAAAATTAAGGGTGCAACTGAAAATTATTTACCAGTTAGTGGACGTTTCACTCTTTGAAATCTTGAAATTCAAATCAGCCATTCCTCCCACAGGAACTCTGTCACTTCCTGTAGTAAAATGAAGCAGCTTCTTTTGGAGATCAAGAGGAAATCCAAGTACTACATCCCAAAAGTATCTACAATATTAAATAGGGAAGGAAAAAGTTAGTATCTTGACAAAAGCAACCTAAAGTTATCACTACACTTCAAGCTCAAATATTGTTACTTAATATAACATGTTTCACATAGTTAATCGGTGAATGTATTTATGTGCATTTTTAAACACTTATAAAAAATGTGATAGTGACATTTCACTGTTCAACTTCTCCTCCCATCATTATTTAGAGCCAGATTTTGTATCTGGCAAAGTGGGGTAAAGGGAAGAGATGTTTTGGCTGAGCTATATTCCTGTATCGTACAAGACCTTATTATTCAAGGGTTGGTTTAGTTAAAAATACACATTTACATTTCTTTCTGAAACTTTTTTTTAAAACTTAATAGTTACAAGAAATTCCTAGGGCTATTACAGAAAGAGCAGAGCAAAATACTTTTTTCTCAATTTTTAATGCATTTTACAGTTTATGTATAGACAGTAGCCATAGTTTATGTGGATCATGCACTCTCTGGAAAGGAAAGAACATATTAAAATATAGGAAATTATAAATCCACTCATTACATTGGTGTCCTTTTACATACACGACTAATAACTTTTCTTACTTAAGGGACATAAGACTACAGTATTTTATCTTATTTTGAGATACATCTTTTTAGAAGTTACATCTTAGTGCTTTGAGACTACATAGAAAATTAGATTTTTAATTGTTCCCATTAGTGCATCAGTTTATACTGTTCTTCTAAATGCGTATTAAGAAGATTAAAAATTAAGTCTACCTTATAGTGAGATCAGTTTTCAGATAGCCATCATACTGGGTGTTTCTCTGTAGAGCATACATATCCAGTTCAGGGCTTCCACAAACAAGAATTTCAACCTCTTCTGGACGAAGTAGCTGCCAAAAAGTCATAATATTTGCTGGCAGAACACTTTTTAAAAAAATAAATAATAATGCTCATATGATTCAGACTAACAAGAAAAATTTAATTCCAGGTGTTTTGTTATGCATTGTAGACAAACTTTATTGTTTTCTGATGAGCATTTTTCAGGGACAAAAGTTTATATGTGAACTCCAGTATTTACTGTTTTGCAGGAAGATCAGTTCTTCAGTGCTTAATTTTAACATAGGTTACTAAGAAGCAAAATAAATGTAGATAATATCCATTAGTGTGTTATTACTATTACTCTTATTCTTCCTAATGTTTATTATATTTACTTAGAATCATTGATTTGCACCATCGAATCTGACTTTCACAGTATGACCCTATATTCACAGGCCCTAAACTGAACCCAGTTACCCTGTACAGAGCCCAATATCAGTAAACTATTGTATGCCACAGCTAAGGATGTTAAAATTTGATCAACTAATTGAATAGTTGATGGAATTTCCATCGACTATTCGATTAGTTGATTAGGGTGCTTCTGCTTTGAAATGTAGCAAGAGCCTGCTCAGCTGTTGCTATATTTCAAAGGCGGAAGTGCTGCATGATGTTCTGCTTTGTAATATACAAGAGGGGTTCCTCTTGTAATGTATTCTGAGTCCTCCACTGGCCCCGAGCTCCATGCAGTGCTTCTGCTTTGAAATATACAAAAGCCCCAGAGAGGACCCTGTCCCCTTCAATGGAGCTGGAGGGAACCGGCTTTTAAGCCAGCTGTCCCCAGTATCTTCGTTTCCCCCCCACTTTGCTGCCTCTTTCTGATAGAGGCAGCAAGGAGGGGGGAAGCGATGAGTTGACTAGTGTATTGACTATCTATAAGCTTTGGGTTATCAGATAGTCAACTAACTAACTGATTAGTCACTTCCATCCCTAGCCACAGCCAGAGAACACGAAGGACTGAGGTGCACAATTACTCAAAGCCTTTATAATGGCAAAGAATTGAATAAGTGAGATATACCCATGATTCCAACAATAAACATGCACACCACACTGGAGAGGGAGGCAAATCCTCCCCACAATTCCTCCCAAACTGACTTGGGGAAATGCATTCCTGAACCTAAAAATGGTAATCAGAATGATACTCAGCTTGTGAGAAAGATTCACCAGCCACACATATGAGAAGGAATTCTTTGTATGCCTCAGAGCTCTGGCCCACCCTGTCCAGTGTCCTCTCTCATACTTCAGAGGAAGGAGAAAAAAATGCAGAATAAACCACTGGGCCACTATGCCCAACCCCTGTCAGCATACAACCCCATCATAGAATCCCACTCAAATTTACCAAGTTCTATCTTAAAATTAAGTAGGTTGCTTGCCCATTCTACTTCTATTGGGAGATTCCTCTGATGGTTAGCAATTTTCTAACTTCTGATCCTTAATTTGTACATTAACAATTTATATCTATTTGTTCTTGTGACAACCATTTTGTGTAGCTTAAATAGCTCTTCTCCCTCTGGTTGTTTACCTCCTTGATATATTTGTGCGCACACACATCTCTCTCAGTCTTTGTTTTGCTAGGCTAAATAAACTAAGCTTTTTCAGACTCCTCTCATTAAATAGGCCTCAGATTGCCCTGACCGTCCTAGTAACCCTTTTCTGCACCATTCTGAATTTATTTTTCATGCATTACCAGATCTGTTTATAGTATTCCAATTGAGATCTTACCACGGCTTTTTACAATGGTATTAATATTTCTCAATCTCTTCTAGAAATTTCTCATCTAATATATCCTAAGATCATATTAGTTCTTTTTTTTCCCCAGATGCATCTTATTGCTGGTCCTGTGATCAACCAACACACCCAGGTCTCTCTCTACTTCTGTTGTCTCTAATGACTGAGCCTCAGCTTGTAATAGAAATTCATTCCATTATTTCTCAAGTGCATGATGTTGCACTTGATACTATTAAAACTCATTTAATTTCTATTATCCCAGTCTTCTAGGTCATCTAGTTCTCCCTATACAATATTTCAATTCTCCAGTTACTGAGAATGGAAAGTTTTTACCCTATACATATTACTAGTTATAAGCCTCACACTCTTCCTCCTGAGTACTACTGAGGTCCCTGCAAATGTAGGGAGCAAGGCAGAAGTATGTATGAACTGCTGTCATCTTAAATTCAGGACTAGAAAAGCTCCCAGTCAATAAGAAGCAAAAGCCTGGAGCAACTCATTGGCATCCAATTGGTCACATTAGGAACCACATTAACATAAAGCTGATTCCAAGCAACTCTTCCCTACCCAGGCAGGAATAAACTGTTGCCTGCAGCCGCAATATGAGTCTGCAGCTGTGATATCATCAAATTCAGTGCTCTCTGGTCAACAACTGGGAAGGATATACTCCTTGACTGGGATTTCTGGCTTACAATCAATATTTAATCTCTGCTGAGATCATAAAACCTGTAAAACTAAGCCAATTAACCAGAAACTTTTTTTCTGTGATAAAGTTAAACCTTACTGAGTAAGAAAACAAAGAAGGCATGTATTCAATAATGAAATGTGTTTAAACTTTTAACTCCTTTAATCTAGTTCAGATGTCCAGGAAGAAAATCCTGGCACTAACAAAAGAAACCTATTAATATTAAGGGGTGCTTATGTTCTGTGATTAATATCAGATATTTGTGAATGCAAATGTTTTCTGTTATTTATAAAATAATGATACATTCATAGATGTTATTAAATCATTGGGAAGTGCTTGCTGGAACAGATATTCATAATAACTATAACTGCAGTCATAAACTTCTTTAGCATGTCAATCATGTAAATTAAAATACCATAAAAATTCAATACATAGTAAAATACATTAAAACAAAACAAACACTCAGCTGTGGGAAAGTAGATTTTCCTCTCCCAACAAATAAACTTTGTCCTAAAATAGTACATAAAGGAATACATTTTAGAAAGTTAGTGGGAAGTGATTAAATTGCCATCATTTCCCTAGTTATTTTTTTACATATAAAAAGAGAACAAGCTGCCATCTTCATTATTTAGAGAAAGCAGTAAAGTATACTTTCTCTATTCTGTATAGGGATGTAAAATCCTGATTAATCAGTTAACCAATTAATCGTTTAACTGGTTAATTGACTAAGTGGGATCTGGGTCAGAGGACCGCTCCAGCTCGATTGTGCTAGGCCTGGGAGCTAGTCCTTGCAGTTGGGCTGGGGGCTGACTGCCTGCTCCTATGCTAGAGTTGGCTGTTGAGGCCAGCCTCTGCCCCAGCCTCATGGAGCTGGTTCCTGGGGTTGGAGGAGCCGTCTGCCCATGGCAGGCTGCTGCTGGGGGCTGCTCCCAGGGAACTTGGTTAACCGTTACCCAGTAAAAGTGATGCTTACCGAGTAACCAACTAACTGGTTACCCATTCACATCCCTAATTCTGTATCAATCTTTAACTAATAATCTCCAATTATGTAATGCCAATTAAGACAGCTGTCTTTCATCTTGTGTTAATTATTATTACATTCAAACTTGCAACACTGCCATGGGACTATGCAAGCTATGTACTTGTACTGTCAGGTGAGTAAAATGATGAAAAACAAATGCAGACTAAGTACTAAGTTCCAGTGCCAGCTCCTTTCCCTGCCAGTTTCTGATTGGCTTCTTGATTCATGAGAAGAGGGATGGATGTAGCAGCTGAAGAGGCCATGAAAGACTGGAAGAGAGAAGAAGTGGTGCCAGAAGCTGCCAAATTCCTGCCCACATTATAGAGATAATCCATAAGGTAATCCCAAACTCTTTTTAGGATATGACATCTTGTGCTGATGCAGATTTCAGAATATTTAAATAAAGTTTATAATAAAGACTTTTCATTTTATTCTTACCATCAATGCATATGAATCACAGACACTATGGAATCCATAATAAAACTCTGCAAATTGTTTGTAGATTGATTTGTTGAGAATGAAGTCAACATAAAGCTGCACATATTCTAAAAAAAGAATTTGATATCCTGTTATTAGATCTTAATACAATTCTTTCACGCTATCATTTATTTTATTGTCCTTAACTGAGTTGAAATAATTTAAAACTTTTAAAATACATTTTATTCTACATATCACTAAAATAGAAAGTATATTAGCAAGTGCATGCTGATTTTTTTTTTACTACTTAGCTAAACAACAAAATCTATATTTACAAGTGAGGTTAGGTTCATTTCAGTTAGCATATTTTACCTTTCCTGTTCTGATTTGTAACTGGAATTTTATCACCACCAGGCTTTAGATTATAAGATTTTATGACTCCAAATTCTTCTTGGAAAACCTGAAGAAAGAGGGAAGATGATATAGTACATGTATCTCCTTAGTTCTTTATAGTAAATAAGTCACATATCAATTAATTCTGCATATTTCTTAGAGTTTTTTAAAATTGTGTGTTTAGTTTTTTTATTTTTCTTGATAAATATACTTTAAAAAAAGTAAAAAGGAACCCAGTCACATAGTAGTAACACATGTATTAATTGTATGGTAAGACTCAGATACCATGAAGGAGAAAGATTCAGAAAAAGATTTAAGATGTTACATATATTAGAAGAAATACATTCTCTTTTAATTGTAGGCCCCACAGGAATGAAAATAATTTAGATTATAAAGATTATTAAACTGCTCGGTGACAATATAACTCCTAGCTAAAGCAAAAAAGCCTGGAACTAGAACACACCTATGTCGGACCTAACAACTGTCTTCAGACTGGTACAGATTAGATAAAGGCTTTCAGAGCTAGAACAAGTCTTTCAAGTTGGGTAGACCTTTGCCTACATCAGGCTTCCAGGCCAACTTCAGTCCCAAAATGATTAAGTCCTCCAAAGCCACAGCAAACATCTGTCTGGGCCATCCTCCCAGGCTAGACTGACACTTTTTAAGCTGGAGCAAGCTTTATAGAATCATAGAACTGGAAGGGATCCTGAGAAGTCATCGAGTGCAGCCCCAGACCTTATGGAAGGACCAAGCACCCAAGGGTGGCCAACCCGCGACTTGCAAGCCACATGCGGCTCTTTAAAGGATAAATTGCAGATCCTGCACCTATTCTGCGTTCCCCTGCTCTGACCTTTTTTCCTTTTCTGGTCAAGGCACCGCTTGAGACAGCAAGAGCTCACGCTGTAGCTGACAGAAGCCTGCTTGGGCCACACGCAGCTCTGAAAGGGGCAGCTTTTTTTTTTTTCCTCAACTTCTTTCCCTTGGCTCTCTGCGCTGTATCCACCACTATTTTGGCTCTTTGTCTGTAATTGGTTGGCCACCCCCGATCTAGATCATCCCTGATAGAGGTCTATCCAACCTGCTCTTAAATAGCTCCAGTGATGGAGATTCCACAACCTCCCTAGACAATTTAATCCAGCGTTTAGCCACCCTGACAGGCAGGAGGTTTTTCCTAATGTCCAACTTAACCCTCCCTTGCTGCAATTTAAGACCATTGCTTCTTGTCCTACCATCAGAGGCCAAGGAGAACAATTTTTCTCCCTCCTCCTTGTAACACCCTGTAATAGGACAGGATAAAGGGCTTGATGGAAGGGAAGAGAGGCAGCTCTGAAAAAAACCCAGCAACAGCCTTGGCTAATCAGGGGCAGCTGAGACAGTGCTGCTATGAATCAATTAAGGGCCAGGTGAGCTGATTTCAGGTTGCCCCAGGACCTCTTTAAAAACCTTCTCTGTGGGGGAGGGTAAGGGAAAGTGGAGAAGGAGTTTGGAGTGTAGATGTGGAGAAGAACGAACAACTGATAAGGAGACTCGGAGGAGCTGAGCAGATCATCATCAGCACTGTTAAAGGCTTCAGGGGGAGGTATGGGGCTCCGACAGGGAGTGTTTGGAGGTTCTCCCCTCACCAGGTGGCCAGAAACTTCAGCTGGTGTCTGAGAAGAACTGTTTACTCTGCCCCGACTGGCCAAGAGTATCAGCCCCAACGCCCCATTGTTTTGCCAAAGGACAGAAGGCCAAGTGCCAAGAAAACACAAGTGAGACTTGTACCGCAGCCCCTAAATTGCGGGATAGTGGGCAGACAAGGAGTCCAGGACCCAGAACTGGGACTGAACCTGCCACAACCCTTTTAGACACTTAAGCTGCTATCATATCCCCTCTCAGTCTTCTCCTTTCCAAACTAAATAAGCCCAGTTCTTTCAGTCTTCTTTCATAGGTCATGTTCTCTAGACCTTTAATCATTCTTGTTGCTCTTCTCTGGACCTTCTCCAATTTCTCCACATCTTTCTTGAAATGTACCCAGAACTAGACACAGTATTCCAAATGAGGCCTAATCAGTGCAGAATAGAGTGGAAGAATGACTTCTCATTTTTGCTCACAACATTCCTGTTAATGCATCCCAGAATCATGTTTGCTTTTTTTTGCAATAGTGTCATACTGCTGACTCATGTTTAACTTGCGGTCCACATAACCCCCAAAATCCTTTTTAGCCGTTCTCCTTCCTAGACAACCACTTCCCATTCTGTATATGTGAAACTGATTGTTCCTTCCTACGTGGAACACTTTGCATTTGTCCTTATTAAATTTCATCCTGTTTACCTCAGACAATTTCTCTAGTTTGTACAGATCATTCTGAATTTTGACCCTATTCTCCAAAGCGGCTGCAACCCCTCCCAGCGTGGTATCATCTGCAAGCTTAATGGCTGTGTCTACACTGGGCCACTTATTCCGGAAAATCAGCCGCTTTTCCGGAATAAGCTGCGAGCTGTCTACACTGGCCCTTGAATTTCCGGAAGAGCAACGATGCTCTACTGTACAAAATCAGCCGCTATTCCGGAAAAACTATTCTGCTCCCACTCGGGCATAAGTCCTTATTCTGGAACACTGTTCCGGAAAAGGGCCAGTGTAGACAGCCCAGTAGTCTTTTCCGGAAAAAAGCCCCGATCGCGAAAATGGCGGTCAGGGCTCTTTTCCGGAAAAGTGCATCTACATTGGCCACAGACGCTTTTCCGGAAAAAGGGCTTGCCTGCCAATGTAGACGCTCCTTTTCTGGAAAAACTGAAAACGGAATAGTATTCCGTTTTAAGCAGTTCCGGAAATTCATGCCAGTGTAGTCACAGCCAATAAGTTTATCACCATACAAATCATTGATGAAAATACTGAACAAAGAACCAGTCTCAAAACAGACCCCTGCGGAACCCCATTTATTATGTCCTTCTAGCCTGATTGTGAACCATTAATAACTACTCTCTGAGAATGGTTATCCAGACAGTTATGCACATATTATAATAGCCCCATCTAGGTTGTATTTCTCTAGTTTATTGATAAGGTCATGTGAGAGTATGTCAAATGCCCTTCTAAAGTCTAGGTATACCTTGTCCACCACCCACCACTTCTCTCTTATCCACAAAACCTATTATCCTATCAATGACAGCTATCAAATTGATGTGACATGATTTGTCTGTGACATTATTTAATTTCCTGAGTTATTTGCCCATTTCCAGTCTTCTGAAATTTCCATGATATTTCAAAGATGATAGCTAAAGGCTCAGATACCTCCTCTATCAGCTCATTGAGTATTCTAGAATACATTAGCCAAGATGGGTAGGAATGGTATTCCCTAGCCTCTGTCAGATCTTCTGGGAATGGGTGATGGGAGAGGGATTGCTTGATGATTCCCTATTCTGTTACTTCCTCTGGGGCATCTTGCATTGGCCACTGTCGGAAGACAGGATACTGGACCGGATGGATCTTTGCTCTGACCCACTATGGCTGTTCTTATGTTCTTATATTCATTTCATCAGACCATTGTGACTTTCAGACATCTAACTTTTCTAAGTAATTTTAACTTGTTCTTTTTTTATTTAAACTTCTAAACGTACCTCAATTCCACTAGAATTCAGTATGTTAGGCATCCTGTCACCATCCATCTTCTTGATGAAAACCGAAACATAGAAGTCATTAACCACCTCTGCCATTTCCAAGTTTCCTGTTATTGTTTCTCCCTCTTCACTGAATAATGGGCCTACCCTGTCCTTGGTCTTCCTCTTGCTGCTAATATACTTGTAGAATGTCTTCCTGTTACCCTTTACGTCCCTAGCTAGATTTGTGCCTTTGCCTTTCTAATCTTGCCTCTGCATACTTGTGTTGTTTGCTTATATTCATACTTTGTAATTTGACCAGGTTTATACAACTCATTTTTTATTTTTAGATCATGAAAGATCTGGTAAAGTCAAGGTAGTCTTTTGCTATACTTTCTATCTTTCCTACACAACAGAATAGTTTGCTTTTGGGCCCTTAATAATGTCCCTGTGAAAAACTGCCAACTCTCTTCGGTTGTTTTTCCACTTAGTCTTACTTCCCATAGGACCTAACCTACCAGTTCTCTGAGTTTACTAAAATCTGCCTTCCTGAAATCCACTGTCTCTATTTTGCTGTTCTCCCATCTATTATTCCTTAGAATCATGAACTCTTGTCATTTCATGATCACTTTTACCCAAGATGCCTTCCACTTTCAAATTTTCAACCAGTTCCTATTGGTTAAAATCAAATCAAGAACAGCTTCCCTCCAGTAGCTTCTGAACCTTCTGAAATAAAAAATTGTCTCCAATGCAGCCCAAGAATTTTTGGATAACTGTGCCCTGCTGTGCTAGTTAACTAACATCTGTGTTTGTTTCTCAACATATGTCTGGATAGTTGAAATCTCCCATTACCACCAAGTCCTGAGCTTTGGATGATTTTCTTAGCTGTTTAAAAAAGCCTCATCCACATCTTCTGCCTGGGTTGATGGTCTGCAGTAGACCCCTAGCATGACATCACCCTTGTTTTTTACCCCTTTTAATCTAACCCAGAGACTCTCAACAAGTCTGTCTTCTACAACCATCTCTACCTCAGTCCAGGTGTATTCATTTTTAATATACAAGTCAACACCTCCTCCCTGTTTCCCTGCCTATCCTTCCTGAGCAAGCTGTACTCTTCTATATCAATATTCCAATCATGTGTATTATCTCATCAAGTGTCTCTGTGATACCAACTATGTCATAGTTGGACTGATTCATTAGGACTTCAGGTTCTTCCTGTTTATTCCCCATACTTCTTGCATTTGTATATAGTTATCTAAGATATTGATTTGATTTTGCCCCCCAGTTCTGCTTCTCCTTCCTTTATGTCTGCTATTATAGCCCATGCCCCCTCCAATTTCTGAGCCATCTCCCAGGTCTCCATGTTTTTCACTTACCTGTGGGCTTTGGTCACCTGCCCCTGTTGAACCTAGTTTAAAGCCCTCCTCACTAGGTTAGCCAGTCTAAATTCAAATACTCTCTTCTCCTTCCTCAAATGGTGAACCCTATCCTTGCTTAGCAGTCCTTTTTGGGACAGCATCCTGTGGTCAGGGAAGCCAATGCCCTCCTGGCTATACCAGGCATTCACTTCCAGGATGCATGTGTCTCTGACTGGGCCCCTACCTTTGACAGGAAAGACAGAAGAGAATACCAACTGCACTTGAAACTCCTTCACTCATACTCCCAGAGTCCTGTAGTCACTTTTGATCTACTTCAAAAGGACAAGGTGAAATTTGAGCTAAATTATAGCTCTTTAACCCTAGCCACACTGAACTCGAAAAAATCAACAAACACTTTCTGTGATACCGGGAAAGCAGTTCTTAAATTATTTTTAAAATAAATCTATAAATAAATACTCTGAGCTGTGTCAACTATTACTATAAACTGTACACTTTTAGTTCCTACAGTACCTGGAAGGTTGAATAAAAATCTTCTTCAACGTTGTCTTCATAGGATAGAAGCTCACTTAGTCCATGGGCCAACTCCTGAGGGAAAAAAAATTACAAAATTAGCTTCAATTTCACCTTGTCCTTTTAAAGTAAATCTTATTACCAAGAAACACCTTAGGCAAAATTGTACATTAAAGGATACTATACATAAAGCAACATGCTACTCCGCATGTGCAGAAATGATTTTTCTGCTATAACTATATATTTGAATTTTTCCCCTCACCAGGCAAAGGCACTTGTTTCTAATATGTTCATACTGAATTTCATTTTTCCATCATCAGCTACAAATTGACCTAAAAAAACCACTGTTAGTTATTTTTAAACAAATGGAGATTATTTATCAGTAATCGTTCCCCAGAGGCGCTCTCTGAAAAAAAGGTACAACTGAAGAGTTCACAAGGAAGGGGCTCCCTGAGCATTTTTCCTACCACCACTATATCACACTTATTCAAGTAGATTAAATTTAGTATTCAAGTCTGTAATAAGCAAGCTAGAGTACCAGTGCCATACAGACTAAGATCTTATTCTACCAGGGGAATGGCTGCTTGAAATACTAACACCCAGAATGCATGTATTTTGCAAATGTATACGGCTGCCACTTAAAAGTTTAGCTTCCAGCTTTATATTGTTTAATCATGACACTCTTGACACTGAAGTGAAGATCAAATGCTAATATTTCGAGAGCAGCTCTTAAATTATATTTTTTTAAAATTAGTACTCCTTTGACATCATTGGTTCTGTAATTGTCTATTATACTCCTACAATGGGAATTCAGAGGCATTTTACTGAGGGATTAATGTAATCTGAAATGCCCAATTAACTGTGATGAACTAGTAAAAGACTCCATGGGCACGTCTAGACTACATGGCTCCGTTGACAGAGCCACGTAGATTAGGGTTGTAGGCAAAGGGAAATGAAGCGGCGATTTAAATCGCCGGTACTGTGCCTATCAGCTTTGTGGTGGCACAGCGCTGTAGTCTGGATGCTCCAAGGTCGACATCAAAGGCATTTGTCGACCTCCCCGTTATGCCTCGTGGGATGAGGTTTACCAGGGAGGTTGACAAATGCCTTTGATGTCAACCGCGGAATGTCCAGACTACAGCGCTGTGCCGCCAAACAGCTGATCGGCGCAGAACGGCAGCCATTTTAATTTAAATGACGTGGCGATTATTTAAATTGCCGCTTCATTTCCCTTTGCCATGTCAACAAATCTACATGGCTCCATCGACAGAGCCATGTAGTCCAGATGGTAACTAATAGCCCATTCTATGTCCAGCCAATACAATGTTACTCCTCTTTATGGCATGAAGACACCATAGGCTAGATCTACAAATGTATTCAGGTACCTAAACATGCAGGTAGGTGCTTACTGGAATTGACAAATAAAAGCTTATAAACGTTAGGTACCTATCTCCCACTGAAAGTCAATAGAAGTTAGGCATTTAATTCACAGAGTGCATTTGTAAGCCCCATTAGGCACCTATCTGCATCTTTAGGCTCCTAAAAAGCTTTGTAAATCTACTGTCTGGTCTGCATATGTGTATCTGGAGGAATGCATTGCCTCCCCCTTCCTCTTCAATATGAATGCAAGAGGAACTAAGACTCTCAGTATTCAAAAATGGAACCTACTGATAGATAAAGTGGTTTCTTGCGAGGCAAAATAAGATCTGAAGATCTTGTCTTCAATTTACGATCTGGTGGTTTCTTTGTTGGAGAAGCTGGACCCAAAGATCATCTCTGATTTCAAAGTCGAGGATTCTGAGACTTCTGAAGAAAGGAGTTGAGTAGGTCAGACTTCAATCCAGGGGGAGAAGCTTAAGACTGAGCTCATGCTTCTTACCCCTACCCTGGAATCTGGTGCCATACAAAAAAGTAATACTAATTCAAGTACCTATCAGCATAAGAAGATCCTTAGCAATAGGGTAGCAACATCTTCCAACTGTAGGGTACATTTTTTTTTTTTTTGTAATCCCAAACTCTTTTTAGGATATGACATCTTGTGCTGATGCAGATTTTAGAATATTCCTACTCAATTTTAGAAACTAACTCAGTAAATTACTATAAAAGAATCTGACCACTACAAATTTATGGGCTTTTTTAATCTACAGGAATGAAGAATGAGAATGATATAGCAGGTAGTTATAGATGAACTGAGGTCAATTAAATGGCTACAGCCATTTATAACTGTAACTTGGAATTCTTAGATACAGAACTGACTCATGTATGATCTTGAGAGTTTTACTGCACTGAATGATACCATGGATTGCAAAGGAAATCAATGGTCTCTTGCAGTGGACATCTGTATAATAAATTTCTTAGATGTGAAATTTCATCTGTAGGTGTAGTTTTTTAAATTCTCAAAACTCAAATGGCAGAAAGGAAAATTTTGCTCAATCTTTTATAAGCAAAACATAAATAAATATGATTGTCAATAAAAGAGAAAATGTCTGTATAATAGGAGTGTGGTTTGTAAAGTATATACAAAAGAGCCTTAGCATGTAAAAATATTCTGCTATGTTTAAATGAAACAGAAGCAACAAAGTACCCAAAAATGAAAACAATTATTATTTAAATCAACTATTATTTAAAGTATTGCTTTATACTTACTGGCATAATTTGACATAGGTCTTCTAATGTAACGTTACTGTTGCCTACAGGTGTGTTCTGATCACAGGGAACAATGGGAGGACTCAAAAGTTTCTTGTAGCAGCAAGGTGGGAAGCGAATATCCAAGGTGATACTATTATATACAGCAAGTCCCATAAGCTATACATGGCAGATGTTAAGTAGAAAATCACATTCCTATTATAGGTAACATTCTTTTTCAGATCACTTTAGAACAGCATTTTTTAAACTGTGTTCCGCGCCAAACCGGTGTGCTGCAGAAATATGGTGACCATGTGTTCCGTTTTTTCCCTGGGATAGTCCCGGATTGAAAGATACCCAGCGCTAGTGTGGCACAGCAGCAACTCCCTGCCTCCACCCAGCATGTAAGCAGCTCCCTTGGTGCTTTGAGCAGGCAGCCAGGGCCACTGCTGGTGGCGTGCAGTGTCCAAAGCTCTGAACTCCCATGCAGCATGCGCCGCTGTCCGGCAAGTCTCTCCTCCCACTCGCTGCCCCCGCTGTGCCCTGCCTGCTTGCCCCCCCCCCCCCACAGCTGCTGGAGAGGGAGAGGCGCTAGTTGGAGCCGGTGAGCTGCTCCTGGGAGCTGCCACCAAGTACCAGCAGAGACCGTGCAGAGCCCAGCTGGAGCACTGCAGAACGGGGTATGTTCGGGCTCTGCTGGTGCGCTCTGTGCATGGCCCTATCTCTTCCCGCCCCTTTCCACTCTGCTGGGGGAGCGGCAGTGCATAGACCTGCTCACACAGCCGCTCTACACAGGCAAGATCTAGAAGGGTGGGGGTTTCTCTCCCCACCTCCGGTGCTCCTTCTAATGGGAGCCAAAGCTGGTGTGGGGACTGGAATGCAGCACTAACATTAGCACCATGGGCGGCCCAGCTTCAGGCACGGCAAGCAGTTCTGCCTTGGAAGTAGCTGGGGCCAGGACTTTGGGGACTTCTGGGGCCCGACCACAGACTCCAGCCCCGCAAACTGGAAGGCAAAAGGTAGGAGAGGGGCTCGGAGAGAACTAGGGGGAAGGAGGGTGGGAGAGGAAGGGGCTTGTGTTGAGGGGAGGGGGGCAGGGCAGGAGAAGAAACAGGAAGGAACCAAGGGACAGGGTGGAGGAGACACAAATGCCAGGGTACCAAGTGGAGACAATGAGGAAAAAGGCAGGAGGAGGGAGCAGAAGTGTCAGTGGGGGTGGGAAGGTGGAGGGGACAGGGTGATGCTGGGAGACGAGAGGGGAAGGGCATTGGGGGCAAGAGGAAGCAAGGGGAGGGGGAGGTGCTGGGAGAAGAGTTGAAAGGAGGGGTGGGCGTGAGGAAGGGGTGGGAGGGTGAGGGGGACAGGGTGATGCTGGGAGAAGAGAGGGGAAGGGCATTGGGGGCAAGAGGAAGCAAGGGGAGGGGGAGGTGCTGGGAGAAGAGTTGAAAGGAGGGGTGGGCGTGAGGAAGGCAGGGATGGAGCAAGTCATGTGTGAGGGCACAGAAGGGTATGAGAGGAACTGGGGCAGAGGGTGGTGAGGGGATGGGCATCAGGGAGAAAGAGGGCAAGGGGGCAGGTGCAGTGAGGGAAGGAGGAAACACCAGAAGAGTGCAGGGGTAAAGGAAGGTGCAGGTGCCAGAGAATTCTGGAGGTGAAGCAGAAGGGTAGACATCTGCAGGAGAGAGACCAGCACCAGAGGAGAGAGGGTTCGGCGGGGGCCAAATTCATCCCCTATGGGTAGGAGGATTGTGGGAAAAGTTCTTAGAGGGGGTTACTTTTACTTCTGGTCATGTGTCTATCCAAAGAGTGAAGGGCAGGGGCATAGTAAATAGAGATTTGTGGTGTAGATAATGTGTCCCTAATTTTGGTGGTTCTTCGAGTGGTCCCCGTGGGTGCTCCGCTCATGGTGTCAGGCTCATCCCGGCGCCATGGATCGGAGACTTGCACAGCTGTGCTCTGCCGGACCGCGCATGTGCGAGCAGCAGCTCGCGCCAGTTGTCTTTGATCTGTCTTTGGGTCTGGCCCCGCTCAGTTCCTTCCAGCCGCCCTCGGTCACGGATGGAGCTTCAGTCTCCCCCTCAGAGTTCTCCTTTCCTCAGATCTGTATTTTAGTTTACCAAACCAAGTTTCTTTTACCCTTCACAGTTTCTGTTCTGGTTCAGTGTTCTTTCAAACAAAAAAAACCCTGTTTTTCTCACAGCGGGGGAACTCAATTTTTGAACATACTTTATTGCTTTCTCATTTTGTTTCTTTTTTTCCACATTGTCATCATTCTTTTAAGAGTATGGGTGCATCTACATGGCACCCTAACCTCAAAATAAGATACGCAATTTGAGCTACACAAATTGCTTATCTTATTTCGAATGAATTTCAAAATAGGCTATTTTAAAATTTGGCACGTCTACACAGCACCAAATTTCGAAATAACACGCTATTTCAAAACATTCCTTAGCCCTCATGGAACGTGGGTTACCAGGATGCTGAAATAGTACACCCGTTATTTCGAAAAATATTTCAAAACAATGGGTGGCTTGTTAAGACGCAGGGTAGACATACCCTATGTGTCTAATGTAAGAATTATTAAACTAAAAGAATCAGCATGATCAAATAAAACACTTCTTTTCAACACCTGAATTCTTTTACACTTAAGATTAAAAAATTGCTTTACACAATATAGAACTACTATAATATAAAAAAATTAAATTGAAACTATAGATATGGTCTTTAATATACAAAATTCTACAGAGGTCTTAGTGAGAAATGGGTTTGATTTCAGGCTTTTTTGTACAAATCAATATGACTATTGTTCTACCCGAGGAGTTTCCATCAAGAAAAGATGCCTCTTCTGGAGTTGTTACTTGTTACTGCCAGATTTGATATTACTTCCCATTAGTTTAATCCTCCTATGCTAGGTAGTCAAGTGGGTAAAGAATGGGATATTTCCCTTATATAAAACTTACTACAAGGACAAGGCTACTAGTTGCAATTTATTAAATATGCCAGTTCTAATAAACAAAAATATAAACCATCACATTTGCTGCCTTTTATACAATGCAGTTTTCTTTTTATATTTAGCTAATTAAATTCTATTTATGTATTCATGCTATTTGTTATAGCTGTACTGTTTAATTATTTTACTTTTTTTCAATTAGTCTAGTGCTTATGATTTTGTTTGCAAGTTATGCCATTTAAAACAGCAGAGTGGGTAACCTATACTAGATTATATATCGGACAGTTTAACAGACAGCAAGAAAATGTTTTCAACACTTAAACCAAAGATTCAATTTTAAAGATGAAACTTTATATTTAATAAACTATTAATAAAGATTTCAAACTTGTTGCTAATAGGGATTCCATACATCAAAAATCTAATTCTTAATTTTCTAAGTTAAGAGTGCTTGATTTTGCAAACTCAATATTTTAGTGTAGTTTTTTGTATTCAATATGTACACATGAACACAATATGTATTTTCTTTATTTTTAATTTTCCTACAAGAATCACTACTCAGTGTATTCTTTAAAACAAAAAAATCTTTTAATAAAAAAAGGAACGCATAATAAAAACTAATTCTGATATTGTGTAATTATAGTTCCTAGCTTTTTGTTTTTACAGTTAGTAACTGATTAAACTACTATGCAGATAGCACCTTCAAGTGGACAGCAAAGGATACAGCTCCAACCAATCGGAATTCAGAGTAGTTATCACATTTATAGCTGCTAAACCAGTGACAGTGTGAATCCTTGTGATATGTAAACATACCTGTGAAATGTAAAAATTATTTCACATTATCTGCAATGAAAAAAATCTCCCCAAAGCATATTTTTGTTTCAAGTTTCCTTCAGCCTCTTTATAGCTAACAGAATGTGTGTATCAAGGAGTACTTTCATTTTAGATATTTTCCTTCCTTTCCAGAGAAGTACAGGTAGTCATTTGTCAATCTTGGAGGATACAAAAGTCACAAGCCTTATAGGCACATAAGGCACGGCTGTGGACTGTCTCAGAAACCAATCACTCAATACTGACATTGGCAACATTAAAGTCAATTTGTTAAAGAATTGTATTTAAGGTCTCTATATATAGAAACAAAAAATAGAGCGTTATAGTGAGTTGAAATTGCTGGAAAAAATAGCAAAATATGTTCTAATAATAGCATTGGGATATGTGGCTTAGAAACTGAAGAGATTAAGAAACCCTCTGGATAGTGCAATACTGACCACCATGTTCACAATTTTCAAGTAAGGAACAGTACCTCATGCAGGCATGTCCAGCATCTACACAGTTATTGTGCTTTGGCTTTTGAAGGTATGTCTACACAGCAAAGAAAAAACCCTAGCTAGCTCCTTTGCCAGATGACTCAAGCTTGTAGAATTTTGGGTGAGACCTAGTGAGATGGGAGGTCCCAGTGCTTGGTTCCAATGATTATTCTGGAATAGCAATTTCAATACAAACTCCACAATAAGAGTTCCTTTTCTAGATATGCTCAAATATATTCAATCAAGCAATCTGAAATAATTATTCTGGAGTTGTCTTTTTGGTAAATTTCCAAGTGTATACAAGCTCTTAGCTGTGTAGCTTGTATAGATTTAAATTATTCTACCTGGTCTATTAGTAAACCATGCAGTAAACTGAATTATTGCACAAGAACATGCATGAGGCAGTGAGACAGGATATGATCCTTCTGAGACATAATGGCTGAAGGGTGGGAACCTAAGGCCCAGGGGCCAGATTCAGTCCCCAACTTGCCTGGATCCAGCCCCCAAGGCTTGGGGCTCCCCCCAGCATTGGGGAGCCCCATGCTGGTGTTCCAGCCCATCTACTGTCCCCCCCACCTTGTAGCTTGAGCACACAAAATCCTATAGACTGGGTCCCCTTAGGCTCTGGTGCGTGAGGGGAATGTGAAAAATGTCTTTCTCCTTCCAGTCAGGGGCCACATCAGTGAGGGTTTGGATTTTTTTTGTTTTTGTTTTGCTTCTCACTTGTGTGTATGCCCAGTGGTCCCCAATCCAAAAAAGGTTCATCATTCCTGGTTAAGCTATCCCACCTCTCTCTCCCAGAAAAGTCAGTAGCTTTGTCCCATGCTTCTACAACTTAAAGAAGATCCTCACCTCTGGAAAGCCCCTGAACTGGAAACTAAGTGGAATAACAAGCCAATGGCAGAACACAGAAAGAATTTCTGCCAGTCCTGAATTCCTCAGATTTCTACTCAATGCCTTGAAAAACAGGGGACTCAGAGAGAGTGTAATAGAATACAAAGAGTGACGGGCACAGAAAGCGAGAAGAAAAGCAGGAATTAGAATAATACTTATCAGACTGGAGAACTGACCTAAGTCTTCACCCCGAAAGTCTCTAAATTTGATGGGTCACTGAAATAAAGGTCTCAGCTCTTCCAGGACACTTAGAACTGTCTTAGCAGCATGCCAATTGTTCTCAATTGGCTCAGCAACCAACACTTTCCATTTTGTAGGCATTGAGCTTTTCCTCTTTTTTCCTAACATAAAATATTCCTATATTTTGATTTCACAGTGGCAGCAAATAACTGCAGCTGGTTGGTTTGTCTGCTCCTGGTTCTTACCTCTCTCTACCTCCTCCCACTCCCATCTTTCCCAAATGACGGAGCCCACCCTTACTCCTCCAACTGAGCTACGTGACCCAACAGAGAATACTGAAAAAAGATCCAGGGTGGATGGGTGATGAAGATCCAGGGTGATGAAAAACTAAAAATGCCTATCCATCCCTGCTTTGATTAATCTTGGTTTTAACCTGTTCATTTAAAAAGTACATTATGAGGACTCACCATAGTCCGGGTGAAAAATCTGGCGAATAAGGAGAAGAAACCATTCTTTTGTTAGGCCACCCATATCAAGACCAGCCTCACCTACAAATGTAACTTTCAACTTTTTTTTCAAATCTGCCCTCTTCCATGTCAGCTATTTAAAAAAATACAAATTACAATAAATCAGAGACTCGAAGTATTTAATATAATAGAACTTAAGCATAACAAAAGGGTGCTTCTTTTATTTCTACAATCTCAGCGGGGTAGCCATGTTAGTCTGTAACTTTAAAAAAAATGAATGGTCCTGCAGCACCTTAGAGAGACTAACAAAAAATGTAGATAGTACCATGAGCTGTTGTGGGCCCAACCCACTTCTTCAGATGAATGGAGCAAGAGGTTTAGCGGTACAAATTGGTTTGAACAAAGACAAGAACGGGATGAGCCACTATATTCAACAACTTAATGACATAAAAAACTAAGTACCACACCCCAATCTGAGCTAAATGAGGCTAATATCAGGCTGCAAGTGCCTGATACTTACAGCCCACTCTTTTAACCTCATTTAGCATGGACACTAAGTGGCAAGATTTTGTTCTTCTTTCCCTCCCAATTTCCCCTTTTTCTGCTATTTATCTGGCCCCTTGCTCCATTCATCTGAAGCTTATGATACTATTTACATTTTTTGTTAGTCTCTAAGGTGCTGCAAGACAATTTGTTTTTTTAAGTTTTTATTTCTACAGTTATTATTTTGTGTGAAATATGAATCCATAAGGTTACTTATAAATCAAGTGCATATTCAAACAATTGTCTGGATTGGGGAAGTTAGGTAATTGTAATTGGTTGGCTATTCTCCCTCCTGGCTCATGACGTCTCTGCCACGACTTGGAAGCAGAGGCACCAAGTAGATCTCATTTACACTCCCTCTGAGCAACTGAGTCTGGGGCATGGCAGCAGTGGGTTAAACATTTGGATAAGAAATTGGGGAAACAAAACCTGAAGTATTTAATAACTTGGGAGCATGTGTAATTCTGTGAGTAAGTTAATGATAGAAAGGTAAGGGAGGTGTCACTAGAGTCATTAAAATTTACAGAATCATAATTTGAATCGTTCACCTTTTTAACTGATGATGGCAATAAACTTCAAGCATTCCTTCCATTTATAGGATCTGCAACCTTAAAATAAACTAATCTGGGTATCATATTTTAGTTATTAACTGAAAATACAGTATCATGGGTCAATGGCCTCAAAAGAACTTTGTGAGGGCTGCCACGTTCGACATGTCTATGTACAGTATATTTAAAAAATATATCTTTCTTGACTGTATAGCTACATAATTGTTCCAGACTTGTCCTGTTTGGTGCCATAGTCTTGGTAGGAGAAAAGGCGTTCAAATGATACCCAACTTGACCTTTTTCTTAGCACACTGTATCATCAAAATTTCCACAAACTCTAGGAGTTGGAGTGAGGACCCAGGAACAAGTGAGCTTCCCTGCCATGCCATTGCAATGATGATACCATAGATTTTTACAAATCAAAGAATACTTCCCTTTATCTTGCTAATATTATATTGCTCAACACAAATGAGATTTTACTACACTGTGCTCCTACACTACAAAGCTCAAAGAAAGAAGATAGTTAAGGAAGAAATCACACAGTATCTAAGGAATAGAAGAAGTTGGAACGCCTACCCTAGAATATGATACAATACAATCTGATGACTATGCACTGTATTCTTAATGAGTTAACTTCATATTCATATTTTTAAAATTTATTTTAGTTAGCATGCACAGTCACAAAATCTACATAAGCGTGTATGGAAAGTTGGTAATCGTAAAAAAAGACGATAACTAAAAACGTGGTTAGTTTCCTCAGCAACTACTATATGTTTTCAATAGATTCACTATAAAATAAATCCTATCAGACTGAAATTAAAATGTTACAAATACATTCCAACAAACATTAATTAAATTTCCATTTTCTTTACCTCATCAAGTGAATCACTAACAAGATGCATCCTTCTCACTTTCACGTTTAAGAATAACATATTCATGTCAGGTCTCTGCCTGCGAGAGACTTTGTCCACCAGGCTTTGCTATTTGTAATTTAAAACAAACAAAAAAATGAATACACCCAACATTTTTGCTTAAGAAGTCAGATCAACCCTCAGTACCTAGCATCTCCTCTTAAAAGCCACTTCTCCCTTCTG